TCTTGTATTCGTCTAGATGCTAGACTACTCGCTGTTGTTTCTCATCAGACATATTTTTTACCATCAATTAAGGGAGATGATAAGGAGGAAGAAAGAAAAAACAAAATAGAAGAAAAGAAAAGGAGAAAGCAAATATTAAAAAGAGATGCGGCCGAGCGTATTCTTTTGTTAAGGGTGCAGACGAGAGGCAGGGGAGGGAGGGATATATTACTGAGGAAGAGATGTGCGAAAAATACAAAAAGGTCTTTGGAGAAAAGAAGAGATACATGAGAATAAAAAGAAATAGAAGCACAAACGGCGCAACCCAGACTCAAAAAGCATTTTCAGGTGCGGTATGGTATGCGTGAAGCATACCTTATCCCGACAGCATTTCAGTTCACTTAGAAGTGGAGCGGATGAAAAGACGGGGGGGAGGGTGGATACCAAGATGAACAAGGAAAATAAAGTTATCGAGGGGGCGGAAGATTTTTTTTTTTTTTTTTTGGTCAGGAAACCCCATGAAGATAACTAACAAAGAAAAGAAACGAAGACATTAAATCAAAATCAGATATGTGCTGGGTTATGTTCGTTGCAGCCGTTACGTATTACAAGAGCGATGGGTACAGGAAGAGAGAAAAGAGAACAAGGAATGGAGAGAGGAAAAAATTAATGGAGGGAAAAAAAAGGGAAAAGAAAGAAGAAAAAAAAGAAAAAAACTCCAGAAAACAATGGTGTTTGTCGCATATCATCAAAAACCCGCGACTTTTTCACCTTCTAAAGGCACACGTCAAATATCAAAACAAGGAAAAGTTCCAAAGGAGCACTTCTTTCTACGCTGCATCAGCCGTAGGAATAGGCTCCGGGATCTTCGTCACCTGTGCTCCCGCCCGCACGATCCGATTCCCATACTCATCCCGCACCGACTCCACCTCCTTATTTTCTCTCTGCGCCCGCTTCCAGATCTCCACCTCACAACCACCACGGATAACCCCAACCCGCATCGTCGATAGCAGATTGTGCGCTGCATTCGAATGATTATACACGCCGCCGTTAAACATGGCAGTGGCATCTTTACCGATACCAGCGTTAATCATGGCCTTGCCACCGGGGTGATCCTTGATGAAGTCTGTAACGTCATGGACGACGCCGGCGATGGCGATGAGGCCCCGGCCGTTCTTGGCTTGGTCGACGTAGTCGTCCCATTCGATGACGGGGAGTTGGTCGAGGGGAATGCCCCAGTCGAGCTTTGCGCGGCGCTGGTCGATCTTCTTCTGCAATTGCTGGACGCGGCCCTTTTCGATCTCGTTGGCGCGGAACTGCTTGAGGTCATAGGCAAGGCCGAGCTGCTTCCAGATCCAGATGGTCCACTTGGTTGGATCATATTGGTGCCATTCAATCGCGTTGCGGTAGTCTGAGGGGAATTCATGGTGGAAGTTGTGGTAACCTTCACCAAGGGTAATAAGGGCGGTGATGACGTGGTCGCGTGGAGAGTTGCGGTCATCGAAGGGTTGGTCACCCAGCCAGTGGGCGAGGGAGTTGACGCAGAAGGTGGCTTGTTGGACGAAGAAGATGCGCAGGATGCCGGCGTAGATGAAGCCACCAAACCAGTCACCCCAGCCCAGGCCACTGACAAGCATGGGGAAGATGAGGCCCATGAAAATGACAACTTTGAGGTAGTTTCGGTGTTGCCAGACGACGACCGGGTCTTCATTGAGATCTGTGATGTCGGTTCGGCCGATGCGTTTGGGGTTTTGCTTCATTATCATCCAGCCAATGTGGGAGTATAAGAGGCCTTTGCGGACGGAGTAAGGGTCCTTCTCTGTGTCGGTATAGCGGTGGTGGGCACGGTGGTCTCTCGCCCACCATCTAATGGACCCTTCCACTGCACCACCTCCAACAGCAGCCAGATAGATTCTCAGGGGTAACGTGGCGGAATATGAGGTATGAGCCCAAAGACGATGATAACCTGTTCACACGGATAAAAACTGAGTTAAAGATGTGTTCCCCACGCAAAAACTCTGGAACATACAAAAGTGAATTTTCAGGACACATACCAGCAGTGATACCGAGTCCAGTCATGAAATAGTACGCAACAGCCCACAGAGCTGTTTTCAGTTGCAAGGGAACCCAATAGGCCTGGACGAGGCCGTATATAGGGATGGCGATAATGAGAGTGACGTTGAGCCAGTTGACATGTTTGTGCCAGTTTGCCAGCGTTATTTGTGTGTCTGTGATATGGACCTTCTTGAGTTCAGCGGTAGTTCGACGAGCAGCATCTGCGCCTGCGGATTTCCCTCCAGCAGCAGCTGGAGTAGTTGCGGGGGCTTCGTTTGAAGCCATGGTGGTGTTGCGGACCAGCCTGCCGTTTGGTGAGATCAGGACGATAGGAAGAAGGATAAAGCAGACGAGGGGATACAGAGGCTGATAGTACAGAGGCTGATAGACTGATAGAGAGATGGGTGGAGAGATGAGAGAAGTTGAAGATGAAGACGTGGAGGAAGAAGAAGTGGAAGGGGAACAGGAAGAAAGTTGAAGAAGTTAAAAGGGTTAAAAAAATGAAAAAGGTTGAGGGTGTGAAGAATGGCCTGATCCTGCTCAACCAAGTACCGGGGGAAGTATACCACAGACGAAGAAGACGATATTGAGAGCAAGGAAGAAGAAAAGTATCCGTCTTTAAAAAGAAGCTAGTGAGATTCTCTTCGGCTTCACGGGTTGCTAAGAACTATTATCATCATCATCATCATCATCATCATCAGATGTTCTTCCCTGTTGTCTTGTAAGTTGTGTGTCGCGAGGATGAAGATGAGATTGTGCTTGGACGATTTGTTGGGGTGGGAGTGGAGGAGAGTTTACGCTGTACAGCGCTTGCTTTGTACCAGGTACCTTACACATGCATACAACCATGTACCATATTTACTCCCTATACCTCCACTCACAAGAAAATTAACTCACTCTTGACATATAAAGAGCCTTATATTTTATAGACATCAAGAAAAGAATACATCAAGTGAATAACTCATATCTCTTTTTTCTTTTCATAAAACATTCACTGTGAGTATTCTTGAGTGAGGTAAGACATTTCTGAATACTTGTTGAAATTCTTGAGGTACAAGAATTCATAGTGTCTGTATGTATTAGTACAAGTGGTAGCCCCATCTCGGCAACTAGGTAGCTAGCCAAAGTCAAAACTTCCTCAACGCCCCAGACCGAAAAGGCCTGGTCAAACCCTCTCTCTCTACCCAGCTTGTTCCAGAAAACGTAGACAAGAAAACTAAAAGTGTATTGAACTTCTCTTGCCATCGTCTCAAGTTATTTACTCTTTTCAAATCCATTGACGAGAAACTTCGTCAGAGAAAAGTAAATTTAGCGTTCGACGAACTAAAATCCAGCACTTTTCCATGACGGGTGGGACGCCCAAACAGGCTTAGGGTGGTCCCCAACAAAACCACAAAGCGCCATTTCCAGTTACTGTGCTCTCATTGGTGGATATTCATTTAAGCCTCATGCAGCACTCGAAACTTAAACGGAATCTGGGCGCCAAACCTTTCACATCAGGAAACTGTAGCGGCCGCCACCACCACCTCACCTTGGGGTGTTGCCGCAGCGATTTAAAAATCAGTGTACTCCGTACTCCGTAGGTTGTTTATGCCCGCTGCCTTGCAATTTTCTCCCCAACCAGTTTTCTTTTCTTAGCTTGATGAAAAGGTTTAGCGTCATTCTTATTGTGTCGTGTCATGTGATGCTTTTATTATGGATATTTATTTACATTTATATATTTTTTTTTCATTCAAGAACAAAAATGCAAAAAGAAGACTTGAGTGACTAACTACAACACTAGTTTTGAATAACTCATGGTGAATTGCAAATTACCTCCAGAGCAGGCAAGTCCAGTGTGAAACTTCTATGCTTTTACCTCTATGATACGCGGAGGTTCGAGCATGCATCATCATGTTACTTCCCCTTGATGGGCTGGCTTTCTATCGTCTTTTCTCAAAATCCTGTACTTTCGTCCTTTACATGGCAACCGCGAGATGTGGATGATCAACGAGCTAGACCTGGTTCCTTCAGCCACGGGGTGTGCCGTGAAACAAAGCATCTGGCTCCAAGGCGAACATTGTCATTTTCAGCCCTGTGGTCCTTCATCGCAATTCCGTTTATCTTGCCTAGAGACCTAGACGCTTTTCCTAGTTTACTACTCTCTTGGCTTCCCTCTATCCCCCCCTCTCCCTAAGTTTTCTCTATTCCCTCGATCAGATCCGCCTTAGGGTAGTATCTATTACACCTTCTGCAGGATTAGCAATGTATTATCTGCTGGGAGGATGTGCGGAAACGCTCTGCTGAGAGACAGACGACTAAGACGACTAGAGGGAAGACGACAGCCCCCGGGGTGGAATCGTTCAATGACTACATCTCACCTCCGCAGACCTACGTGTGTATGTGTATGCCGGAGACATCAAACTGTGGGAGGGTGGCCATTGCCGATTTCGGGGCAACCCGTTTCCCTGGATTAGAGCCGTTGGAGCGGTTTACATGGATGCCTCGGATACCTCAGTCTCACTGCTACCATCAGGGTCTCCGTTCAATGGGTTGCTGCGATATTCGACTGGGCTGTGAGCTCAGGGCAGTAATGCTCTCTACAGCGTTCTTGGTGAAGGCAATTTCTTCGGGGGTATTTATGGCAGAGGCTCTTGAGACTAGAGTGGATGCATAAATGAGATATTCCTACGTTCGATACGACCATGAACGTTATCAGCTCGCGATACATATTAAAACTAACTCAATCCAGGTACGATACGGAATAATAAATCTGAGAGAAAAGAGCGAGAGAGTTCTGGTGTCTTTGCAGCGGCTACGTGATGCTTATCGGGCTGCGCACAGGCCACTCTGGCGTTGACCAGAAAAAGAGACAAAAAGGGTAACTTACCGCGATAACCGCAACAAACAACCGCGCGCATAATCAACCCTTTGCGGTCGGTATCCAACCTACACAACCCAATTCAAATTGCATCAATGATATCAAGTCAATCGTTCTTAATCACTGCCGCATTTTCCACGTCGTTCAGCCTGTGGGAAGGATGGTCAGAGCTCTCTACCCCTTTCCCCCTCACGCCCTCTTCCTCCTCCACCCCCTCCCCGCTCCCACTCCCAGGTTCACTAGTCATTTTAATCGCCTCCCCATCCACCTCATCCTCTTCCTCCTTCAACACTAAATTCAAAATCAGCGCAATAAAGCCCGCAATCGCAAACCCAGTCGTCATCACAAGCTCAACCGCGTCAAGCAACCCTTGCTTCTCCTTATTGTCCCCATTGTAGGTAAATACAAATGAAAACCAGTTCGGCACAAGCGTAGCCCCCATTCCCAACGCCAACGCAGCTGCTAGAATAAACCGATTCCGCCTCGTGAATTTTACCGTAGATATAATACGCATACCGGAAACAGCGACGGACGCGAACAGGAACGTGGTCATCCCTCCCAGCACCGCGGACGGGATCGCAACCAACGCCGCCGCGAACTTGGAGAATATTCCCATGATCACTAGAAAAAAGCAGCAGCAGTAACCCGCCTTTCGATTCGCGCAGCGAGTCAGTGAAATCACACCGTTATTCTGTGCGAACACGGACATGGGCGTGATGGTGCACAGGCCTGCGATCAGCCCATTTAGGCCATCCGCAAGCACCCCGCCCTGAATGCGCGTGTCGAAAATTGGGCCCTCAACATCCAGCCGGGACACGTCGCAGGTTGCCGTAATGTCCCCAATGGCCTCCATCATCAGGACGATGTACACGGCCATGAGGGGCAGGATGATGGGTGGGTAGAGTTCCAGGCGGAAGGTACGTACCCAGATGAACGAAGCGCTAGGCGCGGAGTCGATGGCCGATCGATCGAAGTAGCCTGTCGCTGCCGCCACGATGCAGCCCACAAACAGACCCATGACAACGGCGCAGGACTTCATGATGGGCGACCCGAAGCGCTCACAGAGGATTATGGTGAGGAAGACGAGGAAACCTAGGCCAATGAACTCAGCACTGCCCCAGGGTAGCGCGTGCGGGGCGTCGTTGCTGGGACAGAGCATGAGAGGTCCCTCTGTGGGGCGGGAGACACAGGAGCCGCTGCCGCCCGCCCAGTTCTGCAAGCCGGACTCGATGAGCTTGATCCCGATGAGTAAGACCGTGGGGCCCGTGACGAGCGGCGGGAAGAGCCGTTTCAGATACCGAGCGCTCGTGAATGAAAGGCCAATTTCAAGCAAGGCGCAGAGACATGATGTTGCCAGCAGGGCGCCGTATCCCTGTGGGCAGGGGAGATGGTTTCCCTGCTCGTCGACGGGGCAGTAGCCGGACTCGTACATCTGCGCGAACGCACCCATGGCGACGGGAATCGTGGCGAAGGAGGTGCCCACGACGGAAATCAATCCCGTGCCGAGGTAATAGGGGGTTTTATAGATGTGAAAGCGGGCCATTTGGATGGTAGAGAGGGAACCGGAGACGATTAGAGAGGTTGAGACGAGGTATTGGGCTGTGCTGTCGGGGAGTTCTGCGCCGCCAGAGCCAGACATGAGGATTGGCGGGGTGATGACTATAGAGATGTATACATCAATATCAAGAGGGTCAAGTTTTCTCTCCCATTCCTCCTCTTTTATTCATCTCCATATGAAAAACGGGAGCAAGGGAGGGAAGGGAGGTGTGGTGATGGAAACCATACTCCCCGCCAACATGGCCAGCGAATGCTGCAATCCCAAAATCAACGCCAGCACCACCGGCATCCTATCCTCCAGGCCAAAAAATGGCGCACCCCTCTGTTGCGATTTCATAAATGGCAGGTTCGGCGTGAATAAGAAGGCATAGTCGTACTCGCCAATGAGTCCCTTTCTAATTTTATGGACGTAGATAAGGGCGCAGACATTCTTTGTCAGAAAGAAGGACAGCCATTGTGGGTGAGATTTTTTGTCGATTTTTTTTTTAAAAAAAAAACCTTGAAGAGGGAACAAGTGCAATGGACGATGGATCCGGATTTATGTCTTTTTCTTCCTTCTGAAAAAGAAAACTTGTGGCTTCACACATACCGGGTCGTAAATGTCCTATACACCCTATGCAGCTTATCCACGAAAGACCTTCTCCTGCCACGATCCATGCCCGGAATGATTTGGTCGGGTTCTTCGCCCTTTGTGTGTTTTTCTCGTCTCTAATTTTCTTTTTATCCACTTCCCTTTGCCCTTGGTAATCCGGGGTTTTGCTGAATCGCAGTTGTCAATCTGGATAAAATCATGATACACGAGGAACTACCAACCTTTCCAAATCACCCCAAAAAAGTCTACTAGGTAAAAATGTTTGAAGGTGATTTTGGTATAGCAGGGTAGTCGACTGCTTTTGATGTTGACTGACTTAAATTATCGGCATTGCTGATTTCGTAAAGATGTAAGAGGGTAGAGGGTAGTCCTGGAGGTAATTCTACACAAAAGTCCAGCGATAATAGTTGTTGCGTCAGATATCCCACCCTGATAGCCAAGGCCCCCAAAAAATGCGGAGCTGAAGCTGACCAGAGCGGACCTCTCCTCTCCACAATCAAGCTTTTCGACGCCGCAGGATGGAGTAGCAAATAACCGGGCCGTTAATTGGCCTAAAAGAGATGCTAACTCCCTAGCTCCTTAGCCATGTCAATCATCGGTCGCGTCCCCCCGCCTCCTGGTATGGTATGGTATGACCGCGCATCACCGACGATGGGTATAGGGCCATTTTCTCATAAATCAATGAAGAAGAAGGGAAAGAAGAAGAAGAAGAAGAAGAAGTAGAAAGAGAGGAATGAGTAAATTTCAAAAAGAGGGCATGAAAGATGTGAAGTGGACGTGGAGGAGCGAGCTGCTTTTCTTCCTGTTTCTGACTCCGCAGTTCTGCGGCCAAACCTGCCTCCAACCAGTCGATATGGCGTGCGTCGTTGTAAGGTAGCCAGCCACATGGGCTCGATGCCGTCAACAGGTATTATTAAATATACCCAGCATACAAGGATGGCCCTGTGATTCCTCTGAATAGCCGGACCCTGTTCCAAAACAGTGACATAAACATCTAACAATTTGAGTGTCTATCACCAGGCACGTTTGAGTCTCACGTTCCAGGTACTGTACATACAGTAAACGCGGCATTGTGATATTTCTGAGATATTGACGACGGTTGCATTTATAGCCAGCGCATTCATTTTCTTTATTTAGCCTATTTTCTAATAATTTATAGCACTTTAGGCAAAAGGAAGGGTCCTGCTCCGGAAATAATCAATCGTCGCATGCTTGACCCTGAAAGTAACTTGTTCCACCCGCAGAAGATGTTGTCGGATGAAAATCAGCTCTACAGTAGTCCCTATTCAATCCAATATCATATCTGCCATCTTTTCCCTCCTCGGCCTATTATTGTAGCAAGCCATTTATTGAGGCTAGTGTTTCTCCCAGCTCCTTTCCTGGAGCTGGAATGACGCCCAAACGGCGGATGACGTCAGGATGCTCTCTTCCAACGCCATATATGATACCTCACAACTGGGAGGTAGGCATAAAACTACCGGGGCCGTGTTGTAGAGATGCGACGGTATTTAGCAAGCAAATTCGCATCATTCGCATGGATTTCAACCCCACAAATAACACAGATATCTCACGGTTCAGCGTCCAGAGTTGTGCGCCCATTTAGTCCATCTGTAACTCAGCAGCCGGTTTCTTTCAAGAATATGCCACAATCTGCACATAGTTAAAGAGCGAGAGTCAGGATCTGGTTCCAGTAGATGCCTTGTTCATGGGCTTGCTGCTGGTCGTGCCGGTTGAAGTCCTAGGTAAGCAAAGACGATGCCCTTCGAGAAACAATAGATGGAGGCATGCAACAAGCTAATATCTCTGGAGAAGAGTAAGGTGACTACGCTGTTTCAAGTGAAGTGCTTATGTTTTGAGGTAAGTGCCGTGACGGTTGAATCGTTCATTAGTTGATGATGGACGCTGGTGGTTCTAGGTTTAAATAGGCGAGGTTGAGGTTGAATTCTAAAGTTAGTTAAATATTTAAATATTTAGTTAAACTAAGTTAGTTACCTCTTTCGGTTCGTGAGACCAGAGCCGCAGCTCTCGGTTTTTCTTCTTTGATGACAAGTCAGTCCGCCACAATCAACTCCCATCCGTTTGACTGATATCCTGGGTATCTCTTTGAAATCACACTCATCACTCTGTTGAAGGGAACCAGTCTTCCTTTGTTGATTGGTGTTTCTTTATGTATCTTTTTGCAACTTGGCTCTTTTTGTCCCCCAGAGTTGATCTTCTCACCCATCGTCCTCATAGGTTGACATCCTGGCGGGGTTACGGTTTAGCTCGCCCCTCTTCCTCCTCCTCCTGGGCTCCCTCTCCCTCTTCATAGGGATTTCCGTCATCCTGGCCCCCTCACTCCGTTTGTCTGCTCACAGGCTTCCATTCATCTTGGGCCAGTTTCGGACAACGAGTTCACCAGTTGTCACTCCATCGAGAACCTCCGCAGTTCTCAGCCAAACAACCAGCCGCTTACCCCTCACTACCGCAGCCATGGCTCCTTCAAAGCTGAAGAATCCCCCTCAGGCTCCGCCTGTCTTTACTGCGACACCCAGCTCGTTGATTGCTAACACCAAGCGCTTAATCAAATCGTCCCGCAACGTGCAGGATGCTATCGCGGCCAACGTTACCGCCGATGCGGCCACCTTTGCTAATGTTCTGCTACCAATGGCCCAAGATGAGAATGTTATGGCGCTCGAATCGCATATTCTCGGCTTCTACCAGGCGGTTTCGACTGATAGCAAACTTCGGGATGCTTCATCTGAGGCGGAGAAACTTATGGACGATTTCGCCATCGAGTCTGCCATGCGGGAGGATCTGTTCAACCTCGTTGCTGCTGCTCTGAAGAAGGGCGAGAAGCTGGACCCTGAGTCACAGAACCTGTTGGAGAAGGAACATAAAGACTACATTCGTAATGGTCTAGGACTCCCCGCTGGTCCACAGCGGGACAGGTTCAAGGAGATCAAGAAAAGGTTGAGCCAGATCAGCATTGAATTCCAGAAGAACCTGAATGAGGAAAATGGAGGTCTATGGTTTACGAGAGAAGAACTGGATGGCGTTCCAGAGGATGTATTATCTGGGTTGAAGAAGGGCGAAGGGGAGAATGAGGGCAAGCTACGACTGACCTTCAAGTATCCCGATCTGTTTCCAACTTTGAAATATGCCACCAATTCTGAGACCCGGAAAAAGGTTATGATTTCCAACGAGAACAAATGCAACCAAAACGTCCCGTTGTTCAAAGAAGCCGTCGTCCTCAGAGATGAAGCAGCACGCTTGCTCGGGTATCCCAATCACGCTACTTTTAGGATTGAGGATAAGATGGCGAAGACTCCTAAGACTGTGAATGAATTCCTTGGCGGTCTACGTGCTAGACTGAAGGAGGGTGGCCAAAGGGAGCTTGAAGCCCTCAAAGAATTGAAGAAAAATGATGTCGCGTCTCGCACTCCAAGCCAATCTTTTGATGGCCGTTACTACCTGTGGGATCACCGGTTCTATGATCGAATGCTGTTGGAAAAGCAATATTCTATTGATCATCAATTGATTGCAGAGTACTTCCCACTGCAGACTACGATTCGCGGCATGCTGAAAATCTTTGAAGAGCTATTTGGGCTCGTATTTGTTGAGATTGCGGGCGAGGAGCGGAATAAAATCTCCACCACTGGGAAGGGAGATGATATTGTTTGGCATGAGGAAGTCCAGGTTTTCAGCGTCTGGGACGATGAAGGAGAGGGGAGTGGATTTGTAGGATATTTGTATCTCGATTTATTCCCAAGAGAAGGGAAGTATGGTCATGCCGCCAATTTCAACTTGCAGCCAGTAAGATACCCCCTTCCAAGAGACATTGCCTTTTCATTTCTTTTCATTTCTTTTTCTTTCCATTTTTATTTACCATGTACTAATCTACCACCATCTAGGGCTTCATTCAAAAGGATGGGACCCGGCGATATCCCGCTACCGCGCTGGTTTGCAACTTCTCCAAGCCCTCCGCAAAGAAACCTAGCTTACTGAAGCATGATGAAGTTGTGACTCTCTTCCATGAACTTGGCCACGGAATTCATGACCTTGTCGCAAAAACGACGTACTCACGCTTCCATGGCACAAATACCGTCCGCGATTTCGTTGAAGCACCCAGCCAAATGCTGGAGAACTGGTGCTGGACACCCTCGCAGATCAAATCCCTCAGCACACACTACTCCTCCCTCTCGGATGAATATTACCAGGCCTGGAAGGAAGCAGCGGGCGACAAGCCCAAGCCGGACGCAAAGATCCCCGACGAGCTGATTGCCAACTTGATTAGCACTAAACATGTGAACGATGCCCTGTTCAACCTCCGACAGTTGCACTTTGGTATCTTCGACATGACCGTGCATGAGCCTGCTGACCATGCTACCATTGAAAAGATGGATATCTCGGCCACATATAATTCTCTGCGCAAGGAGATTGCGCAGCTCAGTGGGCCTGAAGACCTTGGTCAAGGATACGACTGGGGCCATGGAGAGGCAACTTTCGGACATCTCATTGGCGGTTACGATGCGGGTTATTACGGTTACCTCAGGTTGGTCCGCACCCGATATCTTTTCTTCCTGTTTCCATTATATTTATATCTCGCTCACTAACAACCATTTCCCCGCTATCCAGCTCCCAAGTATATTCTACGGACATGTTCTACACTGTTTTCAAGGATGATCCAATGAACCCGAAGGAAGGTAGACGATATAGGCACACCGTTCTAGAACGCGGTGGCAGCCAGGAGGAGATGAAGACGCTCATGGAATTCCTTGGCCGCGAGCCCAACACAGATGCATTCTACAAAGAACTTGGTCTGGTCAATTAGAAGGGCATTTCGTACACCCCTACATTAGAGCTGGGGGAGGCTCTGTGGATAATTTAAAATACCCACTGAAATATATTCATTATCTAACCTGATGAAGATAATACTTTTTGCCATTTTCGTTTCTTTTACGGAGTAGTATACGGAGTAAATTCATGATTGGTCAATGCTCTCATAGCATCAAACTGGCTACTTCCGTCTTGATGCGCTCTGTTCTGGGTTTATCGATAAAGATCATGTGACTTCGGCGGCGCCTGGCCAGAGGAAGCTGATCAACAGCTCATACTATTATACTCCGTATATTCAACTATCAACATAGCTGGGCGGCCATTCCAAGAGACACAGCCCTGCTTTTAATACTCCATGTACTTTAGCCGAAAGTTCGTATATGCCCTTCTTCTAAACAACCAATTCCGCACCAGAATTACGTTTTTTTATCTCCAAACGCCCCCCTTCCTCCCACCACGCGCATGCTGTTCGCATTCTCTCAAACCGCATTCCTAGAGAACCTCACTTAGCAACCCGCAAACAATTTCAGCCCAAAACTCGCCAGAAAAATTTACACCATAGGCTAAACCCCAAAAGAAACATGGCCACGATAAGTGGCGACCGATCACCACCCGCGTCCCTCTCACAGCCGCAATCACAATCCCAATCGCCAAACCCAGACGCAGGCGCAAATACAGACACAAATATAACCGGAGAACTTCAACAGATCCCCCAAACACGCCTCTCCATAAAAACCTACCACTGCACATTCTGCAACCACCTCCTCCTCGCCTCCACGCGCGATCTCCACCTCTTACCCCGCCGGCGCGAACCGGCGCGTGATCGGGCGCTAATATTACCGCTTCCGAAAGCTGGAGCGGGCGAGGAAGAGGAAGAGGGGGAAGAAGAGGGGGAATCCGAAGTTGAAAATGGGGCTGAGGATGCGGGGGAAGCTGCTGGTGACACAGTACAACGAGGCACTGATGAGCCAACGACGAAAAGTCGAGGGAAGAAGAAAACAAAACTGGAATCAGCACAGCAGGAACAACAACAGCAGCAGCAGCAGCACTATACCATTCTCCTCTCCACAACGATACCAGACCGCAAACCAACCATGATCCGGCGTGAAGATGGGTTTGAGAAGCGGCTACTGCTGCGGTGTGGGCGGTGTCGGGTTGTCATGGGGTATGCTCTTGACGAAATCCATTTTGCGGCTGCGGCTGCGGCTGCGGCTGCGGGGGAGGGTGGTGGTGGAGATGGAGATGGGAAAACGGCAAAAGAAAAGGAGGATGTGGATGGGGAGGGGGATGGTGAAGATAATAAGGAGGATAGGGGGAGGGAGAGGAGGAGGAGGAAGGCGGAGGAAGTTGTTTATATACTGCCCGGTGCGCTGGTGGAGACGGGGGAGATGGGGAAGGTTGAGATGGAGGAGTGGGCGGGGTGGGAGAAAGGGAGGAAGTAAGATGGGATAACTTATAATGAAGACACGGTGGGGACAGTAAGGCTATTGGTGAATGTATGAGATTGGATACAATTATATATATAACATGTAAAAATGATAAACCAAATGCACCTGAGGCTGCAACAGGTTGAATTACAAAACGATCATCTACATGTAAAAAGAAAAAACTATTATGTTAAGTGGTAATAGAAATATGAAAAACAAGGGCGAAGAACATAAAACATAAAACATAAACAGAGCAGAACAATTGCTTGGTGGAGTTCTATCTAGTTCCCTGCCATCCGAACAGCTGTACTAGTGCATTCATGACAATAAATCCCATAAGTGATAACCGCCCGGCCAGACACCCATTCATAAAAAAAGTTATTTCGCTGTAAGTGAGAAAAAAAAGTAGTCTAATGCAAAAAAAACATTAACCTAACCCACGCTGCCATTGTTCAAACCCGCATCGAAGTGAAATCACTCTCCTCCTCACGATCTCAGAAAATGGATGCGCGGGGAGAATTCGAGTGGGCGGCGATTGGGGACCAGGGGAGAAAAGCAGACGCGGGGCATTTCGAAAAACAACGACCAAGGGGACAAGTAAAAGAAACATCTCATCGTAGACCATAGGGCGAATTTGCGAGAAAAAAATGATATAATAATCTTAGAATGGGAATCGAGGTAATAGTTTAGTTGGCAAGGATTGTCCGGACCAGTTCTAGATCACCCGATATTAGATATTTTGTATTACGCTATTGTGATGCACGGGATACGAGACGAGCGGACGGTGTGGGGATATCAAATAACATACCTGTATAGTTGATCTCTCCGGAGCTCGTGTCAACGGCCTTGAGAAGTTCATCAACCTCGTCATCGGTCATTTTCTCACCCAAGTTTGTGAGAACTGTACAAGGAAGAAAAGCAACAGCGGTTAGTCAACATTCATACAAACATCGTCTCACGGTCCATTGAAAACACAGCGCAGTGTGATACAGGTGAAGACTGACTATAACGCAGCTGGCCCACGCCAATAAACCCAGTCATATCCTTATCAAATACCTGGAATCCGCGGCAGTACTCCTCTGGCTCCCCAGGGTCACGGAAGCCGCCTGGCCGGTTGAGGACTTTGGAGAAAGCTTCGAAATCAACTAGATCGTCAAAGTAGTGAAGAGTCCCCATGTCAGTCACCCCGACTACTTGTATATACATTGTATATCATCAAAATTCAATACTCACAGTCTCCGCCAATGCTCTTCTCCAGATCTGCAATCTCCGCGAGCGTGGGGTTCTGCCCGCAGGCACGCAGGAGATCGCCGAGAGATTCGAGGGCGACACGGCCGTTTCCGCGCTTATCGAAGAGCGAGAAGGCTTCTTTGTAGTTTGTGGATGCCTGTTGTTGGTTATGATCCTGATTAGAATGCATACGCTCAAGAGTGTCTGAACTGTCCATAGCTGCTGCTACTGATGCTGCTCTTGTTTTGAAGCTTCGCAACGGAGGGCGGGGCGGGGGAGCAAAAAGAAAAGAGCAAGGTATGAGGACAACAACAGAAATATAGCGCGCAAACAGGATTCAAGGATTGTAGTTGTATTTTGTATTTTTGAAATCAGGTTTCAGCGAGAGAGCGAGATGCAAGTGGTCATGAGTGAACAAGACAACCGGCGAAAGTTGTTTTCCTCCGAAGCCAGATGAGATATTCCGGCTATCTCGCCCTTGCCTTGCCCTGGCTGAGGAAGCTTTTTTTTTTGCCGCTGGTGCTGGGGCGGAGCGGACTAGGTTTGGCTGCAACCCTGGGACGGACAACTGGAGGAAACACGGCGCGACTCACCATTGTTTATGCAGGATGCGGGGATGCGGTGGTTAGGGGGGAAATAAACAACTGTGCCGGTCACAATATATTCGACGTGAAATAACGAGGAATCGGGGAAATTGGCAGACTCCTAAAGACTCAAGGTTTTTTGAATGTTGTTTTGGAGTTGGAGAAATTGAGTTGGTGATATTGGCGTGGGATGGGACGAAGATAGATGGGGGGATGGATGACTTGATTGTTACCGCTGTGGTTACCACAACAACCATCGTGTTTATATTTATAGCGCGGCGATGAACAACAACAACAACATCATCATCAACAACAACAACAACAACACCTTGAATTCAACCTCTGATACTGTCAATAATAATACAATCTCTTCTGTATTCCACTCTTTCTCACTGCGTCTGCTCTTATTTCTGTGAATGTGGTGCATTGTAGCAGTCCAGGATATTTAACTGCTCATTTATTGTACTGTACATCAACTTGAACATCAATTGAACCGTTCTTCTTATACTCTCTCAGGCTGTTCCTTTGGCACAATTTCAGATCATCAGTAATCTCGAGTCTAGCCTGTGTATTTCTGTCATCAAGGAACCCATCATATCAAAAGAAAAAAAAAACAACGTCTCTAGGGCGTGAGATCTGTAGAGATCGTGTCCTCGAAACAGATACTCAGCATACAGAAATAAACACATATCCATATATATAGAGAGAGATATAAACCTCACGACGACCCAGCTTGCTCCGCCAGCTCATGAAGCGCCCGCAACGCCTCCTCCTCCCTCCCCACCGGCACAAAAATATGATCATGAAAATACCCGCTGACCACATTCGAGCTAATATCCCCCTCCCCCAGCTTCGCCGCGATGGCCGCAATCAGCCCCACCGCCTCAAGGCTCGAGTGGATCTTCAATGAGATCTTCCGGCACGGAAACGTAGCCTGATCGCCGAAGCCATGGCTCGTGGCGAGGTCTCTGGTTGTGATTATGGTAACACCCTCGGATTCTTGGAAGAGCATTTGCGCCTGCAATGATTGGAGGGGTAGCGAGTGCATGGGCTCTTTGGTGGTGAGGAAGACGAAGGTTTCTGGGTCGAGGGTTGGGTTGAGAGAGGCGAGGAGAGTGGGCAGGTTCGTTTCGCCAGGTGATGGGTTCATGGTGGGATGGGCTTGGGGCGGTGGTTGATCAAAGCTAAAATTTATTTTTCGGATAGCCGACTTGAATAAAAAGTAAAAGTACTGAGTATACACGACGGGCAAAGGCTGGGTCAGCTACTAACTAGGCGAACCCCGCAAGTGTTATGTCGAAGGGCGGGCTGAACGGGGCAAACTCTCGTGGTGGAATCTTACCAATCGTGTCAAAGATGAGTCTTGAGGTGGTAACATCCGGAGTAACAATTCAAAATAAACTTCATATTGCATATAGCAAGATACACCTCTCCCAGATGGTCATCCTATCGTTTTTCATGAAAGGAAAGGTTTGCCAATTTCTGATGAGGGGTGATAGGAGAAAACAACACTCCAGGTAACGAACTAGCTATATACAATGTATCTCGAGACTTGTTCCTCATAGGACTAAAAATGGAGAAGAGGGCAAGCAATGGTTAGTTAGAATGATGTCACGTCTGCGGAGTTTTGAACATAGAAAAGGCACCAGAGAGGAAGCAGCTCGATGGCTACATATATATATCCACACAAATATAAATATACGGATAGTTGGCTATCTTGTATAAAAGAAATGTATCAGTAAGGCTTATGTACTGTACAATAAAGAGATGCAAACTGTACGCTGCTAACAAGTACACCCAGGAAATAAAAGAAAAAAAAGCCGGAAAGAGACACGGGGGAAGGGAAGGGGGGTATTGTTGTGATAATGAAAAAGCAAAGGAGAAAAAAAAATAACAATAGCAACAAAACATTTGAATCCAGAGTGAGTAGTAGCTTATTGGGAAAGTTGACCGGAATTGTTATGATTTGTTCAAAATCAAAAAGGACCATGCGGGAAAATCAAGTACAAACGGTCGCTAGATGAATCAGTCGGGATAAAAATAAAAAATAAAAAATAAAAAATAAAAAATAAAAAAATAAAAAAAGAGAGAGAGAGAGAGAGAAAAGAGAAAAGAAAGGGAGGAAAGAAGAAAAGAACACCAAGACGAAATCCGAAAGAGTTTAGTCCAATTTTTTACTCCTTCCCGTCTTTTTTTATCTTTTTTTCAGGTTTTTATCCAGTCATTTCTTTACTGCGACTAAAATATGCAAGAAAAGGACGTGGTATATATGACACAGTAGAATAGTAAAAATATATAGAAAAAGGGGATATCAAAACGTCGTAGCGTATGGCGTAAATATAAAACATAGAGCGTAGGGAGGGGTAAGGAATATCTCGCAGAGGCAGAAACATGGCACCGTCACCGTATACGGATCCACGCTGGGCTATAATAAACCGAACCTGAGCAAGGAAACCAAACCAAAATGATATTGAGAGGAAACACGACTGTTAAAGACCGTTGTGAAGGAGTCTCGTTTCATTTTATGAAGAGTTAGACGGGGCGCCGGACCCCTTCAATTTCTCAATACAGCTCCCCAACAAATTTGCAGCCTCGTGGAGTAGTTCCCACCGGGTATACGAGAAGGTCTCCTGCAAAATCATCAACAGACCCATGCAGCGATTCCGGTCGTGGACATGTAACAGCTCTTCCGGCGTGCGCACGCCGCCCACCCGATCGAGGAACTCGTACATATCCTTCCGTCGCTCGTCCGGGGTGGATAGTTCCGGCACGGGCGCGTTTATCGCTCCATCGAGCGCGTAGCCATAGCTCCACACTACGAGGGCGGCAAAGTAAATGACCCACGGCCGATTGAGGAGGAAATCATCGCGGGCGCTATATTCGTTCAATTCCATATATGCTACGGAGCCGTGCTGAACCACCGCGCGGCCATCGTCGGAGAGAAGGACCTGCGTGAGGAATTTCAGCGCGAAGAAGGCGGCGTCTCGAGCGGCGGCTTTGTTGGCCCAGCGTTCTACCATCTTTTCGCGCGCGGTGCTGTAGTCCTTGGGTGTAATGGATCGGCCGAGGAGACGGCCGGCTCCAGCGAAGATTTGGCAGTCAACCACATCGACATGCGATGCCATGTGGGCAAGGTGGTGTAGAACTGTGCGGGACTCGAAGATTATGTCGTCATCCATGGGGAACTGGCGGATGGCGTTTGAATAGTTCGACGGGTTTGATTCCGCCAGAGCGTCGTCGAAATCGCGTTTCCAATTATCGTATGAACGCAACAGAGACGATCTCCATCTATCCCTCCCACCCAGAGCTTGTGCGACGCCCAGTGAACTAACCTGGAGATCTCGTTGATTCATGTGCCAGCTGACGCTTAGTAAACCCGCCATTAAAATAGTCCGGCCAAATGAATTGGTTCGCACTTTCTGGCCATTAAGCGTCTTCTTCAGTCCATCGAGAAACATGATCGCCTTGACACCGTTGGAGTGCAGACTGGACTGTACTCTTGCAACCTCTGCAGCGCTCGTTGCTGACCACAGTGCTTCGTCGCAGGGTAGCGGAAGCCGCATCTCGTGGGCAACCATTTTTGCGGAATGTCCGAACATCGTGGCGTGCGTTGAGTCCAGGACGAAGGCGGCAAACGCCACTCTGCGGGTGGCTTCCGCTTTAATCCAATGAGCCCAAGACTCCTCACCTGCCCCCGATTCAGAGGCAGAGTTAGTACCGGAGCCGGTTGCTGATCTGTTCTGCCGGTCCTCTCGAAGGCTTGGCGGGGAGTCAAAGGCCGATCGACCTATCAACGAACTTCCTCTGCGCATCAAGGTCAATGTGGTATCGTGATGGATATGGGCACGCTCGTGCAGAGCACGTGTTGAATACAGCTTCTCGCAGATTTCAAGGAGTAATAGCGTCTGAAATACCCAGAGCTTCGCAGGTGGCTGGAAATCCACGTCCATGAAGATCTCCCACCGGATATGCCAGGCTAAGAAGTTGGCCAAATCTGAAGCTGCCTCAGTCACTTGGTGCCCATGGCCTTTGTCAAGGGTCGAGGCGCCAATGGCCATAATTGCCAAGAGGAGAAGATTCGGTGTTTTATCCGCTGAGAAGGTCGGCTTGTGTAAAATGGGCAGTTGGTCATGGGTACGGTACCAGTAAGAAGCAATGTAGGTCTGCATCATACGCAGACTAAGAAGGTGCCAATCAGCATCGAGATCACCATCAAGCAAAGCATCCTTTCGCTTTTTCACTGCCGCCTGGTTAGTTTCGTTGAAGCGAGTCTGGATAAGTTCCAGTAGTTCATTTCGCTTCTCCTCCGAAATGATCGACTGGGGAGGTCCCGTGTCGAGAAGACTCGTTACGCTCATTGGGTGTTGTGGCTGGACTACGTTTGTAAAATAGCTGGTCAAGGCCACATCGCTTGGGTAATAAGGTCCCTGGAATTGAGCAGAGACTGGGTCCGCGTAATTAGGGATCATGCCAGATGCATTCGAGTAAGCAATTGGGGAATTATTGTTTGAATGTTCATTGAACAACCATGCAGTAAAGTCGTCAGTCATCGCGAACGGGGACCGGTTCAGTGTTTCCCCACCGAATATTGGAAGTGCATAGGATGATAAAGCATCCCAGTCTGAGACGGAGGAGCCAGGGACCATAACACCGGGGGAGGGATCGAGGGCATTTAAGCCACTGGATATCGCATTTGCGATGGACGCAGAGGTGGCCCCCGTCATACTTGGATTCGAGTAACCAGGCTGTGGCAACGATGAGATATGTAGATTCTGTTGCGGAATGTACGTATTTTGATCTGTAATCAAATTCGCGTCGGTGGTCAAGCCTGTGGCAGACATGTATGCAGTGGAACCTGAGAGTATGGGCCCGGTCGAGGACAGGCGGCGTTGCTGAAGGTTTGGCGATGAGTCGGAGGGCTGGTTGATTGGATCAAGCTCCGAGGGGCTGAATGGAGTAGTTTGGTAGCGTTGCCCATCATATTTTCCATATACAGGCTGGCGATTCGAGACACCATACATCGATGCGGATTGCCGTTGGGGGCTGAGCGTGTAACTACTCGTACTATCTGACCGTTTTAACCGCGGGTTTGGAGCAGCATATTGCTGCTGGGGCGTAAGTGGCTGGAAATGATTCTCTATTGAGGTGGACGAAGAGGAGCCAGCGGAGGGGACAGTTGCGGAATTCGAGTAATTTTGGGCGTTCGCAACATGAATAGTAGAGGATGACCCGGGAAGCCGTGGTCTGGACATGCTCCCTGAGGCATTTCCCGATGCTATTTGCTTCGAATACGGTGAAATCGGATCATTTGTTGGCGAACATGACGGATTAGGCGCATTTCCTGCTGGGGCAGCGTTTCGCGCCTGGGGAGGGACGACAGCGAGGGTGTTGGCGGCATGGGCGAAATTATCGCGCTTCTGAAGCTGCGAACCATGAGTTGTGTGACGTTCCCGATGGCGGACGCAGAGATCTTGCCGAACAAAGGAACGATAGCAGTCTGGAAAGTCACAGCGATATATGTGTTTTGGGGTGTCTTCATATCATCAGCTGTGAGTAGAGAGGGAGTGGCAGTGGGGCGCGCGGAGGGATAAAAAAAAAAGATAAAAAAAAAAGATAAAAAGATTAAAAAAAAGCAGCAGAAGAAATACCAAAAGAAATACAATCACACCTCATAAACTAGGACCATTTGTATAATTCAGACGGAAGTAGAAAATGAAGGTTCAAGCGAAGCAAAAAGAAACTTACGGTTCAGCTGATGTCTATACAGATGTTCAGCTCTCGAGTAACTCTTCCCGCATCCCTCATGCTTACATTCAAACTTCTTCTCCGCATCACCTTTCCTGGTCCTCTTCCGTCTCTTGACAGTGTCGCCTTGAGACTGCGAAGGCTCGCCACTGTCATGCTGCTGGTCATGGCCTTCATGGGAAGCATCCTGTCCCTCGTCGTGACCTCGCCGACGGTTTTGAGCTAACGAATCAACATCTGCCATTGATTCGACAGCCAGAGTCATAAGCAGAAGGGGGGCAGAAGGAGATAAAAGTTGACTATCTATGAATCTATGTAGGTGCCCGTGTCCAATGGTTAACAGGAGCGCGACTTTACACACACTACCCAATGCCCTTGCTGCAGTCTATAGGAATGGTGTAGGAGCCTCGAACGCCCATCAGAGCGCGAGGGTGGAAGGGCGGCGTGTGAGGGGGAGGGGGATCCGGCGCAAAACGACATCAACCAGGACGCGCTGGAGTGCGACATACGAGGAGTGGAGGAGACGCTGTCAATAATAAATAATAGCCAGATATAAGCGCTCGAACCGGTTGTGTGTCAAAGAGAGGAGACAGAGAGCTGTAGCGAGAGAGACGAAGACGACGATGATTGACGCCGGAAGAATGAAGCATGAAAATGAAGAAGAGGTTGAAGCTGAGAGAAAGGAAGAAAGAAAACGTCGACCTTCGACGCTCGCTGGGGAGAACCGCCAAAGTTACTAAATAAGTTAACCTGCTTGGGTGCGGCCTGGTCGGATTCCAGCTAGGGCAGAACTAACTTTGATTGCTGAGTTCAGGACTGTTCGTTCAATTCAAGTCCAGGACATGCATACAATAATACATCGCTGGTTAACATCGTGAGAGCAGCGGCGAGGATACGATACGAGCGTCCACTCCGCGATGGCAGCAAACCACGGCAGCGAGCTCTGGCTGGTTTGGCAGCCGGTGCAGCGGGCAGATGACCAGGCGCGATTTTGGCCTTTCTTTGCTTTTTCTTCTTCCAAGCCAACGGAAATGCTTCCTTTTGCTCTGACCTCTTGTCCTTTCCAAGCCATGCATGGTAGGTTGTTCTCCAAGCTGTCGGAATCTGTCGTGCTAACTATCTATCTGTAGTACAGTACGGGGTCCCTGTCTATGCAAGGTTATACCTAGGTATACATGCGACATGCTGCATGTTGATATATGCCAAACAAAGAGAAGGACCGGCTTCTACGACACCTACTGTTATCCCTAGGAGATAGCAAAATACAGTTTACAGATCCCTCGCCACCCTCAACATCTTGACATGTTCTTCGGGGCCTGGTTTCAGGTCGTTTGCACGCGAAGTCGTTTGCGCTGGGTAAAATCAACCCAATAATAACCGATCGGTGACATTGCCAGAACCCTCTGCGAGAGTTAATTCTGCTCACCCGAGTTGGAGTCGAGCTAGGAGTCTAGGACATGGCCATGGCTTGTCCCCAATCTTCACAGCATGATCCCCATCATCGTTAGAGCCATCGATCCTAGATCATGGTCCCTTGAATTCCCATCCCCATCCCCGCCCGACCCTCTTCCGCTTAAGGGGGTCGAATCACTAGCCCTATCAGCCACCATACCAAGAGAGAAAATAACTAATCCGAGGATATGAATGTGAAACACGGACGGGCAAATCCAAAATACGCCTCCCTGATCATTTCCATTGCCGAGAGATGATCCTCAGTAAATGACGGGGAGAAAGGCGAATTAGATCGCTTTTACTGAACACATGGGTTCTTGTCAGGGGATTTGAATTTCCTTTACTCATAGAAATTACAACGTTGACTTCGCGTTCGTCAAATCGTGCCTTAAAATCTTCTGCATCTCAATTTTACCGCAAGAATAATGAAAAATATAATCAGGGAAGTCTAGAGAAGAGGGAAAAGGAAAAGCAAAACAGAGCAAAAGAGAATCGACTCTCAACCATTCCCTGCCGTCGTCAGCCTGGACTTGGGTAAGTTACCCAACCAGCTGGTAAGGAGCAAGGAGCTAGGGTATCGCGGCGCAAAACAGGATGTGGGGGGACATAGCAAATCGAACCCTGATCGAATCTTCGAAAGTCAAACATGGATGCGGAGAGAGCGAGAACGTGGGAGGGAAGTGGAATGCAGAATAATGAAGCATATACGGAGTACAAGGTCCTCTATCTCTAATAATCAAGGCATCAAATGTGTTACTTGTGGTAACTACAAGAAATGCTTAGGAATGGCAGCTGGTAAACCTACAGTGGCCTAGGCAGGCATCCATTGTGTCAAACGAGCCTATCTGGATGGCTTGGAGTCGTTCGGATCCATAACTGAGCATAATTAGCCAGGGTGGATAAGCTAACTAGTGCCTGTGCATGTGTATACTTACTTGTGCGTAAATTGTAATGCCCTTTTCTTGTGCGTTAACTTGCTCAAGTATTATTTTTATTATTATTATTGTTTTCCCCAGCATTTCACTGGCTGATCAGGGTCATCAAAATCTTTGCTCCATAATCCCTTCGTCAACCCACCACCCCTCATCTTTCGCAACTTCGCAAGCCACACTCCAAATAATAATATCCAGGCTGGAATATGCCATGGCTCATGGGGATCCAAAAACAGCCCTTCACAAAACCTTCAAAACATGAAACCCCCTAGTTTCATCCAGCAGATCCTTTAATATTTTCTTTTCTGTGCGGATGGCCTTGATTGCTATACCCCCCCCCATCAGGAGAACTGGCATACACCTTGTAGCCAAGAACAGAACATTCAGTATAAATTTGGCCCTATCAACATCAGCACCGATTCGCAGAGAATGGATTGGAGGACTGAAGCGGAGTGTGAGAATCCCATCGCCTAACCTGGAGGGACAAAAAAAAATAGACACTGGGTGAGGCGCCTGGTTCCTGCATCTCGAAAAAATTTAAGTGATCACGAGAATGATAAAAAAAAAAAAAAAGAAAAGAAAAGAAAAGAAATACTAATAAATCAGCGGCAGGAGCGCAACGGAGCTGGTGAAGTTACCAGAAAGAATGGGTCGGTCGAAGATACAAATGCAGGTGTTAGTTATCATTCATTTGCAAGGCGGCGGCTCCCAAGCACGGATTTAGCTTGCCCTAAGCTTGATATCTAGTTATCATCTGTGAGTTAGCTTCGCGCTACATTTCACCCTCTCCAAAGTCTTATTTTAGAGGCCAACAGGCTCACAGCCGGTGAGGATGATGGGCGACAGAAAGGGCGAGGGGATGACCCCAGTATTATTATCATTCATATTATTTTGATACTTTAACTACCCATGGGGTAAGATACCAATGACAATGACAAGCAGGTAGCAGTGGTTTTGTCCCAGAAGTTCAGACTTGCACCAGCTCACTTCTATTTCCCTAAATTGGGGAAATTATTGATATCAAAATGACACACATTGTCTTGGGCACTAGCCAGCTGTGTTTCTAAGAATTGGAAAGATGTTTTTTTCAATGTTGTCAGGAACAAGAGCAGGAGGAATCCATACATCAAGATACATGTACAATCACCAATAATACTACCAGCCTCCCTCAGGAACAAACCACAAGAAGGATAAAGCAGAAACATCTTATGCAATATGCTGCCTAAAAATTTTCTCCAGCTGTCCATCTCTCACCCAAGCACCAGGCGCTGACATCAATAATAATGGGATCCTCAAAACCCCGGCACGACATGCATATTTGTTTCCCCCCCAGCCCAGGAATGATTTAATATTATGAAAACGACCAATCAATCTCCCCTAGGTGAAAACTTTCTTATTCAGTAAAGAGAGAGCATTGTCCCGCGGATTCTATAGAATGATCAGGTAGCGAGACAGCCTTAGGTTGAGGGAGGAATGATGGAACGCGGGAATAAAAACAAAAAAAATCAAAACTAGTGTACGGAGTACTCCGTAAGGCTTCCCTAGTTACATATTCCGGTGCATAGCATTTCTATCCCAATTTGGGTGTTGTGTCTACTACATTTTCTCATTTCAACTCATCCAAACAACATTCTGCCGAGTTGGTTCGAATATTAAATGGTGAGATACTGGGTGATTGCTTGAAACAATGCTATTGTTGTCTTTTTAGGTTTGGCTGCAAGGTAACTTAATCCTTTCATTAATAATTATTTAATTCTGCTATGCTATGTATGAACCGTCGAGACTGAGGGGGCGGAGCTGTCTCCCATCCCCTCGCCAATACAAAAGTAGAAGAATATCAACAAGATACACGGCACCGTCCATTCTTCGATAAGTTGAAACATATTGAGATATAAATATCTCAAAACTATTCACACCAATTATTGAATACATCTGGCGGAAAAAAGTTAGATCGTATTGAAGGATCCAACCCCGCCGAGACAAAAAAATTCTTCATGCCCTGCAGCCAATCCCCACCAAGCAGCCCCCATCCCCCATCCCCCATCCCCCAGCTTCTTCTTAGCCACAGGGAGTTTCCATATAAGCTCTTCCGTTGTTTCCAAGTATGTCCATGCCCATTTATAGTAAGTTATTATTCTTCTTTACGCAGTATTAAAATATTGCCCATGCCTCAACCAGTCAGCCTACGCTGTAAGTTCGGGCCCTCCCTTCCTTGGCACGTTGGTATATCGAGCTCGTGCTCAGATCCATGCATGGCATTCGTCCGTTTGCGGGAATAAGCAAAAAATAAAAAAAGCAAAAAATAAAGAAAATATCAGATCTTTCTTGTCCCTTTTTTTTTTTTTTTTTTCCGGGGGAGAATGGTCAGTTTTCTACTAAATGGCGTCTCATATAATCCCAAAATGTTC